AGAGTAAGACTCTGTCTCAAAAAAAAAAAAAAAAAAGGCTCTTACAAATAAATACTAAAAGGATGATCACCCCAAAGAAAAGAAATAGGTTATATCAACTAGGAATTCACACACAAAAAACATATAACAGACTATCACTAGTAATGAAAGATACACAAACCCAAATAATAAGGAGGAATTGTTCAGGCTGAAGAATTCCTTTCAGTTAACTTTGATGTGATGATGGCACAGACCTATATTATTAGATAGGATACAATGTCCATGACATAGCAAATAAAATAAACAAGATACTAAAAGGGTATCCAGCATGATACTTTTTTTAAAATTTTTTAATTTTTTTAAGACTAGTCAAGTGTAGTAGTGGGAAGCATGATACTATTTCTAAAAACCCGAAAAATACTGATGTACACCAAAAAACACTATAAGGATATTCTTCAAATGGTTTCAAAATGGTTCTCTCTCTAGTTTTTATTTTCTTCACACTTTTCCACATTTTCTTAGGTTTTGGCCAAGAACACATCATCTTTTCATAATCAGAAACTGACAGTTATTTCCACTTTGGGGGGAAAATGGGATTTGTTTTTTCTTACACAGTCCCAGCTCTCCATTTCCACACGTACAACAGGGATCCTCTGCTCGCCAAGTTGTTAGCAAGTTGTTAGCATGCTCATGCTCTGCCGAACGGCATAACTGAGAGACCAGATCACTTTCATAGTTTCACCAAGGACAAACATCTTCTCTTAGCCATCACACCAAAGTCCTACTGAGCAGTTCAGCACTACAGGGAAGGGACCGGTCCCCGTAGTATTGTTTTGGGTCACCCTTTGGGCAGGGATCTAATAGTGGCATCACTGCAGAATATCAGATTCGTCTTACGCACACTTTTGTCAGTCACTAGAAAGGTGAGTCAGTAACAGAGTATCAGGGTTTCCAGATTGTATTCTACTGACGTCCCAGTCTTGCTTTTCGTGTGTTTCATTCAGCAGGGCACAGAGACTTACACAAGGCACCACTGATAACCTTATGACTTAAATGCTCCTTGTGACTTTGTTGCCAAAGGAAGCCCTGAAAGTGTTGGCTGCCCTTTTAGGAAAGTGCTTCAGAGAAAATTTTCATTTGCTGAATATTTTTGGTTTTGGGGGCAGGTTTTAGATTCATAATTTTCACAAGGTACAAATGATGCAGTACATATTCCCTGGCCACAGTAATATTCCCTGGCCTAAAGCCAGGGAATTCTATATACCAGTTCCTCAAAATATTTTTGTGGCAAACTTAAAAGGAACTTAGAATTCTGGTTCTGCACAAAATGGAGTATACACATTACTCCCTATCCCTCCAACTGAGTACAGTTAAAAACCCTAGACATTATATATATGTTAAAAAAAATAATAATTGCTGTGAGCTAGGCTGATGCCATGGCACTCTAGCCTGGGCAACAGAGTGAGACTCTGTCTCAAAAAAAAAAATAAGACTCTGAAAGGCAGAGAGAAGAGATCAGCTAAGAATACCGGAAATCAAGGAACAATATGACAGTAAGTTACCTGAGGTTTCTTTTTGTCTCCTATATAACTTAGATTGGGTATTGAAGAAGCCCTCAACCTATAAACACTAATGGGCAAAGACCAAAAAGCCTCAAGAAGAACCTGCTCTCTTGCCAAAGGGCTGGGAAAGAGACAGCCTAGCAAGATAGAAAACTTTTTGACAATAAACACCTTATTCCAGCAAAACACCAGAGAAAAAACCCATGTACTCCCCGGTCTCCAAACCTCTGTCAGAAAAAGCTGAGTGGGGAACCAGATTTCTACCCTGACCTGGCAATAATGAAGTATCCCCCTGTGCCCTGCTGTGACAGTGTAAGAGAATGCCAAGTGGGGAGCCTGGACTTTCACCACTGCCCAACAGTAATAAGGTATCTGTTACGGTTTGAATGTTTGTCCCTTTCAAAACTCATGTTGAGGCCAGCTGCAATGGCTCATGCCTATAATCCTAGCACTTTGGGAGGCCAAGGTGGAGGATCACTTGAGGCCAGGAGTTCGAGACCAGCCTGAGCAACACGGCAAGACCTCATCTCTACCAAAAATAAAAAAATTAGCCAGGCATCAGGGCATGTGCCTGTTGTCCCAGCTACTTGGAAGGCTGAGGTGGGAGGATCATTTGAGCCTAGGAGTTTGAGGTTGCAGTGAGCTATGATGATGCCACTATACTCTACCTAGGGCAACAGAGCAAGACTCTGTCTCAAAAAAATACATTAATTAATAAATAATAACAACAACAAAAATCTATATAAAGAGATATACTCAAAGACACTATAGATAAATCAAAATGGAATTCTAAATAATACTCATGTAATCCAAGGGAAAGCAGGAAAAATAAAAGAGGAATAAAAAGCAGGAAAAGTAAACAATAAAATGGCAGATTTAAGCTTTTATCTATCAATAATTACACTAAATGTAAATGAACTAAATAACCATGAAAAGACGGAGTTGGCAGAATTCATTTAAAAAACACATGAACTAAACATATGTAACCTAAACATCTGTACCCCCATAATATGCTGAAATAAAAAAAAAAAAACATATGAACTATATGCTGTCTATAAGAAACTTCAAAAATGATAAAGGTAGGCTGAAAGTAAAAAGATGGAAAAATGCAAACAATAATCAATGGAAAGCAGGAATGGCTATATTAATATCTGAAAAAGTAAACTTCAAAGCAAAGAAAATTACCAGAGCTTAAGTACATTATATAATGACAAAGTGTCAAATTACCAAGAACATGTATTAGCAATCTTAAATATGTAGGCCTTCAGAATACAAGAAGCAAAAACTAACAGATCTGAAAGAAGAAATACACAAATCACAATTACATTTGGATATTTCAAGAAATCCTCCCCCAATAATCGAACTACTAGACAGAAAAATCAGCAAGGATAGAGAAGAACGTAATACTTTAACCAACGAAAGGCAGCTTAGCAACTTATACATCATACATGGAATGTGGCCTTCTTTAATGATCTGTTAACATAACACATAACCCTCCATTTTCTTTTAATTACAGAGTGACACATGTTAAGTCAGAAAAAAAAATACTGATGTTTACAAAGTAAAAACTAAAATGCCCCTGTCAACCTGCCATCACTCCCCTGAGATGACCACTCCCCAGAATGTGTATTCTTTGAAATCTTTTTGACGTATATGTAAACATACGTGGTTTTCTTTAATTTTATAAAAAATGAGAATATTTGGCACACTATCTCCAACTTGCTTTTTTACAACACAATGACATATACTAACATCCTTCCTAATTGGTCATATATAGTTCATATGAAGTATTAATAAAAATGTTCTCAGAAAACAGCATGTTCTTTGATAATGTAAATTCCTTGCAGTTATAAAAGCCTATTATACTCAGTACCTAGAAATATAATGGCCATCAGATTAATGTTAAACAACACAAAAAAACTCTCCTAGAGCAAGAAGATAGCAAGACAGAATTGAAAGTGCTCTGTAAACAATAAAGGGTGTAAAAACATAAGTAGTATCACAATTACATTTTCTAATTTGTTTTCAAAGTGAACACTATAACCTAGCTGGCATCATTAGATAAATAAAAATATTAGTATTCTACCATTAGATGCAAAATAATGGGATAGCTCATTATGTTACTACAAGTATTTGTTTCCAAGAGTAAAATACTCACAGCTGTTTCTCCTTTTGGGATATTTGTTTCTGTAGACTGTCAGATTTACTCAGACATTCCTGCAGATATTTCTCGTCCTCATCTTCAGCTTCCATTTGCGCCTTCTCTGTTTGCTGCAATCTGGTGTAATTCAAATCAACTTTGGGTAAAACTGAGGCTAGAACTAGGGTGTAAAAGGGTGAAGAAGACAAATAAAAGAAAAATGGGGAAATAGAAACATTTCTAAATGAAAACAAAGTTTGGGAGAAAACTCACAAACTCAAACGTGAAAGAGCCACACAATGTCTAGAAATTGTTTTGTGGGTTTTTTTCAACATAACATATAATATGCCCAGAATACTATCTTCAAATTTGTTTTATTTCTTGTTCATAATTAACAATGCAAAGCAATACAGCCTTTACCACTTATGTAGAGCATAATGAATCAAATTTCAAAGTATAATAGGTATATTACTGCCTTTTTAGAAAACCATGAAAAGCCTAGTACTTATGTCTACACTAGGTGAAGAAGCCTTATGCTAGGATGTATATGCCAGGAATCAAGTGTGCTACAAGGCCAAGAGCAAAGACCTGCAATTACTTCAAATGATAATCAAGTTCTTCCTATAGAGTCTTTACTGAATTATACCAAAGCTCTATGTGTGTGTGTTTGTGTGTGTGTGTGTGTGTGTGTGTGCGCGTGTGTATGCAAGTGCATATATTTTTTTTAAGATTCAAAAAGAACTTAGTGCTAGTTAGCATCATTCTCTATAGATCATTTTGGTTCCTCACCATTGAATTAAAAAATAGCTCAAATGTGATTTTTGTTTTTCCTATTTTTATTTGTAAGTCATTGCTTTTCCCTGTGCTTAGCTCCACTCCCTGCCTTCCTTTGGCCATCTAGGACTTCTTAGATTTAACCTCAATATTTTTATAAGAAAATATCTCCCAAGATTCAAGGGCCATTAACTCCTTGTAGGGAATTACAAGAGAAATTTCTGTTCAACTAACCAAAAAAAAAACCCTGCCTCTTCCTTTCTTTCTTAAAACCGTATCAGTTAGGCAACCCTTACATATTTCAGGAATATAAGTGCTTCCAAGGAAAGGAGAGTAACATTTAAGTTATCTCTAAATCTAAATTAAAATATTAAGATGGCAGGGGTAGACCCAAGCTTTTCTCTAAGGTTACAGAAAGTAAAATAAAAGTCAGAGTGAGGTAGGCCTTGAAGTTGTGCTATCACAGAAGAGTGCTAGGGAAAACTGGAAAATTGAGATGCTAAAGCACAGGATCATGTCCAATCTGGTTTACAAACTATTTTAAAGCATATTAAAAAATCAGTAAGGGCGCCATTAGGCAAGGAGTGGGCCAATGGGAAAAAATATCTGTGCCAACACATGGTGAAACCAAAAGTTAACTTATTTTAAAACAATTTTTATATTTTCCATCAAAAAGTAGCTAAAAAGATAAAACTACATTTGAAAATCCTGACCCCCAAAGGGTCAATACTCAAATCAGCCTTTGTGCACAAGGTTTAAGGAATGTATTTTTGTAAATCCAAGTGCACCCACTCTGTTTTATGGCAGTGTATATTACCACAGCAGCTGACCAAAAATGTACAGGGCTCCTAATACCCTTTTAGAATACTTAATAGCATAAATTATTTTCTATTTAATATATTATAAAATTGTTGATTCTCTTTTAGTCTGTTTAAATACAAGTTGTTTTCAGAAAGATATATCTTTGACCAGCTTGTACTGGTCCTGAGTGTCACTGCTGGCACATTTCACCAATGACATTGCAATTGTCCTAGTTTGAGTTAACAAATCGTTGTCACTTCAAAATGGAATGGACAGAAATCAAAGACAGAAAAAGGTAATAAAGATGTCCAAAATGTAGAAATGGGGATAAAGAAAACAGAAAAGAAAAAAGAAGAAAGAGGATGTCAATAAAAGAATATTCATGTCAATAGAGCATTAATAGTTATGTTTTTCATAAGTAGATTCAAAGAAAGCAATGATTAGACATATGTTGACACCAACATGACAGGGCAATGGAAATACATTACATTTTCCAACAATAAAAGTGAAAAATGCCAATATAAAACAATTCAATTTAAACAAAATCATATCTTTGGTCTGGTTGAGGGTCCTAGCTCAAAAAAACAAAACTAAAGCACCAATTCACAAAGCTTGATTTTAGATAAAGAGATGGTGAATGGCAAAGAATATGGCAATTAATATGCATGGAAATCAATCATGGATAATCCCACCATGGATTTTGTTTGCTTTTAATTCTTCTGAGGTTTTTGTTTGTGTATTTGTTTTATGTAATAGATTGAACCACATGAAATTGCTGATATTAGGCCTTTAAAAAAAATCTACAAAATGGCAACTTCAAATGAATCAGCCTAATATAAAGCAACTTGATTCCATGCAACAACCAAAACAAAAAGGCAAAATCCTGCTGGGCTTAAACAAAAAACATGTCCTAATCTATATCTTCCTAATGGATTTTTTTGTGGCAGGTGTCAGAGTTGAATAAAAAAAAGAGGGGGAAAGAAAAGAAAAAAGGAAACTAAGACTGGAAATGCTGTACCTTTGTTCCAGCTGCCTCATGGCTGCAGTAATTTTATTCGTTTTTTCTTCTAGTCGGGCAATTATTTCATTTTTTTCTTTCAAGCCATCTTCAGAACCCTATTTATAAAAACAAAGCTATAGTGGTTTTGATTTTTTTTTTGAC